AAGTAACGAGGTTCGGTTTGGTGCTTGGCCCAGGTGGGTTTGGCTTCGGTGAGGGGTGCCTCAGTGGAACACGCAGCGAGTACCCGGCCACTCCCAGCAGTGATTGTCACCTGTCGTCCGTGCTACAGCTGCCACCAGGTTGTCTGCTGATAAACCCGGTCTGTACGGGCCACTATGGAAAAGCCCAGGGCAGCAGAGAACTCGGGACAGGCCGGGGGTTCCTCAGCACCGTCCGGCACAGGGCAGAACGCTTCCAGGAAGCGGGGCGCCGTGGCGAGCGGGAGAGCAGCGGGGGGGGGCGCCAGCGGGGCCCGGAAAAAGAAGGCGGCTTTCAAGGCCCCCAGGAGAGGGGCCCCGGACTACTTTGTTCACGAGATGGACGATGACATGCTGCTGATCATTTCCAACACGGGCGACCGGCCAGTGGCCAAGAGAAAGCACCAGGCGGCGGCAAGGAAGCAGCAGCGCGTCCAAAGGAGCAGTGTGGCGGGAAAGAGAAAGAGAGACCGAAGCGGCGCTCCAGCGGCAAAGGCGCTCGTGCTTGGGGGCCAGGCCACGGACAGCCAGGCAGCTGCTGGGCCCTCCTGGGGAGAGCACCTCCCAGTAGAGATCCTGGTGCGGATCTTCCAGGCATTGGTGGCGGCCGAGGGGGCCGTGCCCACGCTCTGCAGGTATGTGGAGTTAGCTGGGGCCACGCAGTCAGCACGGCAGAGTCACTCGGCGCTCATGGGAACAAGCGCCCCATTGGGGCTAGCATTCCACCCTTGCTTCCTGCTTGCTGGGGTTGGAGGAAGGATGGTCCCATGGTTAGGGTGCGAGCCAATTCAGAGGCTCACAATGGTCCCTCCTGCCCCTGCTCTGCCACAGACTTTCTGTGTGGCCCTGGGCAAGTCACTTATGACAGCTTTTTAACGTTTTTTTGAATCAAGGGGAACTAGGTATTAGATGCTTTGGAAAATCCCGCTGGGCACCTAAATACCTTTAAAAACCTGACCCTTTCATCTCTCCGCCTCAGTTCCCTTTCCAACCACAGAGCACCATAGCTGTGCCCCGCTTCCCGGGGACGTGTGGGAGGGTAAATTGTTAATCCATGGGCGAGCGTGCAGTGCTCAGATCCTCTGGTGACAGGGCACTGTGTTGTGTTCGGATGCAATAAAGGGGCCCAGAGAGGCAAAGGTGTGAGCTGTACGTGCCCAACATAAGGCAGTGTTGAACAGCAGAGACCTCTGCTTGCGCGATCCCACGGCCCACACCCATAAAACCCCCTTTTAACCCTTTATTCAAGAAGCCGAAAGGAAGGAGGGGAAGGCAAAGCTTCCGCAGCGTCAGATCGTACTCGTCTGACCGGCAGCCTCCGTTCCCCTTCCCTTTGGCTGGAGTGGGGTTTTAGGAACAGCCCCCCTCTGACAGCCGGCGCTGGTGTTAGGGGTGGTGTAGCCGTCCTTGGGGGGCCAGGGGAGGCGTTAGGAGAGAGGGGTTGGTGCAGGCTTGTGGCTGATGGTCTACGGTCTGAGTCCATGTCCTAAGAGACAAAGCAAGACGAGTACGTCAGGAGGGAAGAGAAAAGAGCAGCAGAGACAGAAGATGCTGCTCCCGTCTGTGGTGCCGACTCTCCCTTGCAGGCTCCCTGCTGGGGGCAGACAGCCCCGGCACCCTGTCTGACCAGGGCACTGCTTCTGGCAGCCTGTCTGGGCCAGGCGCACAGCAGTCGCAGAATGGGCAGTCTTGTGCGACTGAGCCCGGCTGTGGTTAGACAAGGCGGAAGGGGGGGGTAGGACAGATACAGGAATCAGCCGGGGCAGGCACAGGACAGAAGATAAAGTTTTGGAGCTAGGGAGTGTGTGTCCCGTGCCAGGGTTCAGCCAGCATTGGCGGAGGGGGCAGCCCTCTGGTCAGGACTTCTCTCAGGTGCCGTGGGGTCAGGTTGGATCCCAGGGGACAGCGGGGTGCCAGACACGATGGGGAACGTTGCTCCTCCCCCATCATTCAGCCAGCCCTTGTTCCTGTCCCCTCCTTTCAGTCGGCCACGGCTGTGACAGCCGCCTCTGTGCACCGTGTCCCACCTTGGGAGCCGTTTGTGGCCTGTTGTGCCCCGTCGCTCGCCTGTCACTGCGAGCTGCGTACAGAGGGGTCACGGGGCTGACCCCAGGGCTCGCCTGGCACCGTGTGTCACTCGCTGGCATGGCCGTGAACTCGCTCCTGAGCTTAGAAGCCCCTCTCCCCACAGCCCTGCGCCGGTGCCTCCGGAGCTCCCCCGCGCGGGGCCTGGGGCATGTCGCATTCGGCAGTAAGCGCCCCTCGGGTCTCTCCACCCTGCCGGCTAACCCATCCAGAGTGGGGGGGCCGAGGCCTCGTGCTCAGCCTGCAGACCCTGGCGGTACGGGGCTCCAGTATCCGCAGCGACCTCTTCCGGTGTCCAGCTGGCAGGCGCCTCGACCCCCAGTGTCTGGGCGCTGGAGCCAGTCGAAAGGGCCTGGGAAGGGTTAGATGGTTGATGGGGATGGTGCTGCCGGTGACTTTCAGCCGGCCGCAGACAGGTATGTCCAGCGCTACCAATCAGCGTGCGCAGACCGGCCGAGTAAGAGACAGGCTGCTTGGGTGAGAGACTGGGGCGGGGAGGCTGGTGCTGATGCAGCTGGAGCAGAGGGCCCATTTAGGCAGCTTTAACTTTTGAATCTCAGCAGCTGCTTTCGTTAACCAGCTGTTGTCTGGGCGCCCTCCCCGCCCCCCACGACCTCACGCAGTTATGAACAGGCGAATTGGTTGAAACCCGCAAATAAACGTTGGCAGGGCTCGACAAATCCGTTTATCGACTCGCCTGCAGCGAGTAGATTTCAGCCGGTCGCCCCGTTCACCAGCGGTGCGGGCCTGGCGCGTGGGCGGTGGGGGCCTGGCGCGTGGATTTCGCCGCCGTTTGTCGAGCCCTGAACATTGGGACGTAGGACTGGGAGGGACGGCGAGAGGTCGTCTAGTCCAGTCCCCTGCCTCCGGGAAGGACGAAGCATTGGTGAGATTGTGCGTTAGCGTGGGAAGGAGAAGCCCACCGGGGGCGGTGCGGGGCTGGCGCGTGGATTTCGCCGCCGTTTGTCGAGCCCTGAACATTGGGACGTAGGACTGGGAGGGACGGCGAGAGGTCGTCTAGTCCAGTCCCCTGCCTCCGGGAAGGACGAAGCATTGGTGAGATTGTGCGTTAGCGTGGGAAGGAGAAGCCCACCGGGGAATCCTAACAGATCTAGTTAGCCTCTAAGGCACGTCCACGCTGCGGGACAAGGTCGAGGGAAGCTACGCGACTTCAGCCACGTTGATGGCTTGGCTGGAGGCGAAGGGCCTTTGCTCCACGTGTGGCACTGTCCACGTGGCAGGAAGTGGAGGGGGAACAGTCTCCCTTCGGCTTCCCTTACTGCTCGTGGAAGCAGGATGGCTGGCATCGCCCGGCGCGCCCCTCTCCGTTCGAATGAGCTGTGTCCTTGAGGCCTGCTCATTCCAACCATGGGAGATCGATAGCGACAGCTTCGATCTTCTCTGCAGTGTGGACGTGCCCGGCGGTGCCGCGGGGTTCGTTGGTGTGCAGATGCAGACTAACCCGGCTCCCGCTCTGCGAAGGGACAGCAAGCGCATTCGGCCAGGCCAAGCTGGAATAGAAACCTCAGAGCGGGGCCTGGATGACGAGTCCGGGGAGTCGCTGGGGGGCAGGGGCAAACCAGCCCCCAGCCCTACCCTCCATCCCCCGAACCTCGCTGCAAACCAAGCGCACCTGGGACCAAAGCCGATCCTGGGCTGAATTAGACCCGGTAGCGTGAGCCTGGCCTTGCGGGACACGGCCCGCGCCCTCCGGCGCTCGACAGGCGGCACACGGGCCAGAAGTGCGCTGATTGGCTGGGCGTGGGCACCTCTGCGGGGTGGGCGGCTGCTGGCCCTGTGTAAGGTTTGAAAGCCTCAGAGCAAGGGGCCTCGTGGACGAGGGGCGGCCAGTGACCCCGCGGGGCGAGTGCAGCACCAGCTCTCAAGGGGCAGAGGAGCCCTGTTCTGCACCCACTGCTCCAGCCCGAGGCGTGTCCACAGGCTGCCCGTGGGCCCCAGAGCTCTGCTGTGCCAGGGGCGCGAGGACACGGGCGTGGGCGGAAGGGCTGGGGGAGAGGGCTGTCCCGTCTGGGAGCTCAGCCTGCTGGCGTTGGGTCCCAGGGGGCTGGCAGTGCTGAGACAGCTCCGTTCCCACCTCTGCGGCCTGTGCCATTGCCGTGACCAGCGTCTCCCCCGCAGGGTGGCCCGGGTGTGCCGGCTTTGGTACGGGGCAGCCTCCAGCCCGGCGCTGTGGCAGAGAGTGTCAGTCGGCTTCTGCTGGGGGGGGCCAGGTGAAAAGCAGGCGCCGCAGACCGAGAAGAGGATCCGCACACACGGGGGGAGCG